AAAAGACAAGGTGCTAGACTTGGCCTTTCACTGGTATCTGCCCAACAATCTTCAATATAATTTGAAAGTAGAATTGCTTGCTTGGTATTCCTCCTTTACCAATGAAGCTTAAGGAAATTTACTATATTCCTCTTATAATCTCCCCATAAGTGTCTATATCTAATCTGGTAATGATCATTAAGGGTGACATCAGAAAGTATTTTTGATTTCAATATCTAATCATGGATAGATTGCAGTCCTTTTCCAAAGTATGATTTACAAAGCTCTGTCATTTTCTCTAATTTGATATGAAGCTATTCAAGTTTCTAACTTGCTACTGGATGAGATTCATCTGGCATGTTATGAGGGTGTAGAATCCTAACCAATAATGTTGAGCCACATGAATCAACCTACTATAAATAAGATACCTGGTTTATTTTTATTTTTTATATAATTTTTTTAATATGTTTATTATAACATTTCACAGGAAGAAGAGACAAGTTCTTGGAAGAAATTGATAAACGTTTCTGTTTCAGGTGCTGCCGGGATGATTTCTAATCATCTCCTTTTCAAGGTAAGAAACATTTCTCTTTTCTGACTGTTATGGATTTCCCTGGAGAAATATTTAAGGGAACTAGTTATCTTTATCATCTAATGGTTCTCTAATAATGAACTTGGATTACGAAGTCATTATGGTTATCAAGCATCACTGCTTTCACAATTTGAACTACTTGATCATTGGTGTATAAGGTAAAATCCTGCGTTCTAAAGAATTGTATTATCGGTTTTCCAGCTTGCGTCTGGTGAGGTTTTTGGACCAGATCAACCCATTGCTTTAAAACTGTTGGGATCTGAACGCTCACGTGAAGCTCTTGAAGGTAGTTATGAGTTTGTGATTAGAGTTGAGATTTGAGAATACGTTTCAGTAAATAAATTTTATGTGACTGTAAATTTAAGGTAATTCTGTTCTGAATTTCATTTTAAGAATTTTTTTTTTAAAAAAACCCGTCATCATAACAAACTTGGGAGCAAGTACTATCAATGCGTGTATCTTCATATTGATATTTAGCACTTACCTTTCAGGAGTCGCTATGGAACTAGAAGACTCATTGTACCCTCTATTAAGGGAAGTGAGTATTGGTATAGATCCCTATGATGTGTTCCGAGATGCAGAATGGGCACTTCTTATTGGTGCAAAGCCTCGTGGCCCTGGAATGGAACGGGCTGCCCTATTGGACATAAATGGGCAGATCTATGCTGAACAAGTACAATCTTAACCATAAGACCATAAATATTGAAGGATAAACGATGTGCTTTATGTTTCTTTTTGACTTCTAGTTCTTGAGAACTACGAATCGTTTGTTCCAAATTTCATATACTTACTTACATATCACAGGGAAAAGCTCTGAATGCTGTTGCATCTCGCAATGTCAAAGTGATAGTAGTTGGCAACCCTTGCAATACCAAGTAACATTATACCTTTTCTTTTCCCATTTATGCCAAGTTTACTGTGTTCAATACTAATTTCTTTTCATCTTTTCTAGTGCGTTGATTTGTTTGAAAAATGCTCCGGACATACCAGCAAAGAACTTTCATGCTTTGACTAGGTTAGATGAAAACCGAGCAAAATGCCAGCTTGCTTTGAAAGCGGGAGTCTTCTATGATAAAGTATCTAATGTTACCATCTGGGGAAATCACTCAACCACTCAGGTAACTTGTTAGATTTCCTTTTTAAGCATATTCTGTTTTCAAGGTTCCCGGCTTTCTAAATGCTAGAATAAATGGATTTTGTCAATTTTTCTGCAATCAGGTTCCTGATTTTCTAAATGCTAAAATAAATGGCTTGCCTGTAAAAGAGGTTATTAAAGATACTAAATGGCTCGAGCAAGAGTTTACAGAAAAGGTCCAGAAGGTAAGATTTTCTAAACTTTAGTTTTTCATGGCTTGCTTATGTGCTGTTACTTGTTAGTATCTTTATTCAATTCCTTAGTGTTTGGTTACGTGGTTTCTAGAGAGGTGGAGCGCTTATTCAGAAATGGGGAAGATCTTCTGCTGCATCGACTGCAGTATCAATTGTCGATGCTATTAAGTCTCTCGTTACCCCAACACCTGAAGGCGATTGGTTCTCTACCGGAGTAAGTTTGTAAATGCTACATTTCAGAGAAACAAGTGCAAAAACTAGTGTTTTTACCTTCATATACCATTATCTGTACAAGTACAACCACCTGATGATATGCCGTTTGTCTTCATGGCACGGGTCATAAGATGAAAGATATTGTGACCAACCCGATACTAATAGAGGGTTTACTATGATAAGTAAATGCATCAAGCATGTAATCTGTTAGGATCAAACGCTTACCACTACGCCAAAAGTTATAGGTAGTAACGAAAACGCAAAACTTTATTTCCTTATACCGCCACATTTTCGAGAGGTAGGGTGCTGGACTTGGCCCTTCAGGCCTGACTTGGCCCTTCTAAGGCCTAGTGGCCTCTGCCTAAGGTGTTTGGTAAATAGCTGTTAGCTGATTGGGTTAGTGAGTTTGACAAGTTGATAGCATTAGCTGATTGTAGAGAAATGTTTAGTAAATTATCTGTTAGCTGATAGCTGATTACATGCAAAATGACTTTTTCAAAAAGCTGATCGAAAAAGCTACTTTAAGTAGCTTTTTGAATTTTAGCATTTTGGAGCAATAAGTTGTTACAAAAAGCTAATTAATCAAACACTCATATTGATTGTATAACCAAGTCAAATAGCTAATAGTGGTCAAATAATGACGTATGAGATCTTTGCATACAGCACATCAGATAGATAGCTTTTATGTGTTTTTAATTCCTTTGTTGTCAACAGATGTTCAGAACTTCTGTCATTAACAGTTGACTGTGGCTGAAACGAAGTGCTAATCTTTTGTTTAAAAAATTGTATTAGGTATATACCAGTGGAAATCCTTATGGCATAGCCGAGGATATAGTTTTCAGCATGCCATGCAGGTCAAAAGTAAGTTCCTCATCAGAGATTCACCTTCTGATCTTCCTTCTTAGATCATCATTCACGGCTTCTGATGTTTACTATACATCTGTTTTCAGGGAGATGGCGATTATGAACTAGTTAAGGATGTAATATTTGATGACTACCTATGGAGCCGGATAAAGAAGGTAATCTTCTTCTCTATTCTGGCATTTTGACATAATTAACAAACTTTTAACTTACGAAAAATGAAAATGAATCTAAACCCGTTCTGCAGACCGAAGCTGAGTTGCTGGCCGAGAAGAAATGTGTAGCCCATCTCACAGGAGAGGTAACAAAAGTATCCATCAAACAAGTTAATGCCGAGTTTTTGCTTCTTGAGCAGTCATAATAATCGATGTTCTTTTATTCGCGCAGGGAATAGCTGTGTGTGATTTGCCCGGGGATACCATGCTTCCCGGAGAAATGTGAAATGGGAAAAAAGCTTTCAATGGAATTTATCAAGAAGATTATTTCAACAAGAGCCTGTGCATGAGTAGATATATATGTTCATGAAATACTGCAATTGAAATCTACTGCAGCCCTGTGGAGTTTATGTAGCATACACGTTAATTCAACCAATAAATGTAGTAACAATTCAAAGGTACTGTTTATGGTGGACAAATGCAGATCATTTCCAGTTTTATCTTAGTAATAATTTTGATTCAAATCAAGAACTACGCCTAAAAGCGGTTTATATATATTCACTTGGTGTACGTATACTGTATAGTGTGTGCGTGTCATATGGTTGAACGGACCTCTTCTTCCTCCAGGATTTTGCTATTTCAACTAAATATATTTAGCATAAAAGAAAATATTTTCGAAAAAATATCACTAAATTAAAAAGAAAAAGAAGCTATATAGTCTAATAAAGTCCAGTACCAATTCAGCCACCAACCCTTCAAGTAAGTTGCGGTAGTTCCAAAGATCTAAAGGTTAAAGATTCTGCTAGATCTGGATAAAGAAGTGGTTTGATTCCCATGGATCCGTAAAATAAGTTCAAGAGGTGTACTGCTGTTTCTCTTTTCTCTCGTTTGTGTGACAAGTTTGTTTTCCTCTCGTTTCTTTTGGCGAGTTTGTTTCTTCATAAGTGTGAAACATATAAGTTCGTCATGACGTATGTGAACTTCATTTTGGGTGACAAAGATGACAATGTAAAAGAGCATCTGCATCTCAGCTCGATGGATATATTGTCAATGAACGACAAATGAAAAACATATACTCAGGTGGTGTGCAAGACTTTTCAACTAAAGTTAGTCTTGACTACGTTTGATCAATTCTTCAATGACATTAAAGAAGCGTTAAATATAATTGATCTAACAAATTCAACTTCAAATTTTTGAAACAGACTGTGATTCAAGTTCTTTGTAGCATTGCTAGGGAAGTTGTTTCTATATTTGACTATAAGAAATGGTATACCGTTCCATCGATCTTATTTGTAATCGTTTCAGCTTATAATTAAATGAATGAACTTTTTTAATGAACTTCTTTATTTTAAAAAAAATAGAATGTAAACAATATAATGCTTGACATTCAAGCTACTATACCCTCATGAATAATTGCAAGAAAGTAGTTACACATGCTCTGAGACATAGCTCAATTGTTCAATCAATTAAAAAAAATAGTTAGTAATTACTTAGTTAAAAATTGCAGTATGTAAGTTCGAAACTTCAAATCCTATCAAACACTTTGAATATAATAGTTAAAAAAAACTTGTTCAAAATAAAAGATGATGAGATGTTAGTTTATAGCTAGGTAGCTTTAATTAGGGCACATTTGCTCTCCCCCTATACTACGGGATCAAATTAAATGTTTTATAGAAGGGGATGACAACCATTCCTAATTAAGCTAATAATTAACAATGGTAAACTATTCAAATAACACATGCAATAATTTAAAAGACTCAAAAACTAATTGTCCGTACGTTCCAACAAGTAACAATAAAAGTGACTAATTTAGTTTCCTTGCCCGGTGGCCTGGTTTTCCCGGCCGCCACCTCCCCAGAATGCCTACACACTTAACTTGCAGATTGATCAGATTCGATGTCACACGCCGCCCCTAATCCTTGGCCGCCGGGAAGAAGACTCCTCAGGCGGCTAATTTCCTCAGCCAACTTGTCATTGTCAGCTTGAAGGCAACTGAAGGTGGCTTCTGAATTCATCAATGCATGCTTGAGGGTGTCCCTCTCTTCCTCCAACTCACTTATAAACTTCAAATAGCCCGGAGGCAGTGAGTCCTCAAGGCTGGAGGAGTTGAAAGCGCTGCTACCATGGTTTTCCTGCACCTTATTGGGTTGAATAGCGGCCAAGGAGAAGTTTAATAGCCCAGAGGAGAACTCCGTCACTGCCGCCGCCGCCGCCTTCTTAGTTGGTTGAGGATCAGAGATTGTTGCGGATGAGGAGGAGTCCGAACCACCTTTGATTCCCGGGAAAAGATCAAGCATCATCAGCTTGGGTTTTTTGCCTTTGTCTAAATACACTGCTTCGTCTTCATCTTCATAATCATCATCATCCTCTTCTCTTTCCCTGATCCTCAATAAGCTCCTAAAACCTTGCGGCTTTTCTGGCAATTGAACCGCCTGGGACGACGATACACCGCCCTGCAACCATATGCAATAATATATGAAAAACAAGATTAGAATGCCGGGCTGCCACATATATATAAATTAAAGAAAGAAGCTAAGCTAAGCTAGCTAGATTATCTATCTATATCTGAAAACCTGGAAGTTGAACACATTGGTAAGGTTGAGCTCTGAATCTTCTTCATCCTCAGCATATGCGGCCGCATCTTCAAACGGAACCAAACTGTCTACTGCATCGTTCTCCCAATCTTCTCCCATGAAGGCTGCGCCCCTACTTTTCAGGTATATTTTACACAGAAAATATGCATCCTTCTATTTAAAAACAAAAGGGAATTGCATGAATTTCGTTAAACTCCAATCCCAAATTAAACCATGCTTGCATGCATATATATATATATATATATATATATATATATATATATATATATATATATATATATATATATATATATATATATATATATATATATATATATATATAGAAGCTAGCTAGAAATGGAATATAATAGCTAAGTACCTGTTGTAGGGCAGCTTTGGCCAACTCTTCTGTTGTAAGCCTGTATTCATGCATTAGCCAATCGGTTCTCCTCCCAGCTGGGGCTCGCCCTTCATGATACACCAGCGTTTTCTTCATGCCTACGATCTCTGAGTTATGGCGCACCGCTCTATCCCTCCCTGTCGCCTTCCAAAACCCTTTGTCTGTTGCCCTATTTATCTTATTCCCATTTGTATATTTCTTCTCAGTACGGGTGAAAAAATGCCACTCTACCTCCCTACTATTTACTGCACAAAAACCTGCCATATATATATATATATATATATATATATATATATATATATATATATATATATATATATATATATATATATATATATATATATATATATATATATATATATATATATATATATATATATATATGCATATTAATTGAATTGCATGAAACCAAGGATAACTTGATTAGACAATAATCATATCATTTACAATAATAAACTAGCTAGATTTATAATGGTACCATGCAAGTAGCATAATTTACTTTTTTTTTTTTTTTTTTTTTTTTTTAAAAAAAAAATTTTTTTATTATTGTTTATTGTTTATTGTTTTTTTTTTTTTTAGGTCTAACTGGCACGCGGACACCTTGACACCCGCGGCCTTATCACTAACAGCTTGACACCCGCGGCCGTATCACTATTTATTAATTACTGAGTAATTAGATTCATGTAATTACATATTGTCAGATCATCACCCACGCAGTGGATTGCCCCACCACATACATCTCACGTTTTTCTCCATTGTTGATCTTTGATCGTCCTATACTAGCGGACCAGATATTCTCGATTATTTAATATTATAATAATCTAAAATGTAATTTTGATATATTTTTATAAAAAATAATGAAATTACTTCCCATACCCGCCCCGTGGAGATTAAACGAGGACGACGAGGACTAACCGTGAAGTTTCCACGGTTCAAAGCTGTAGATATCGACTTCCGTTATAGGCTCGAAACGGAAGGGCATCTGAAACACCTTACGGCGGAGGAAGTAGAGCACCAACTCCTGGTCGGTGGGGTGGAATCTAAAGCCATGAGCCAGCCGAGGCTTAGGCGGCATCACCATCGCCAAAGCTTCTTCGTGTTGTTGCTCCGCCGCCGCCATTCCCAAATTAAACCTGCAGAAATGAACTCAACAAAAGCGTAAAGGGATCGGAGCAAATGAAATGGATAGTAGAGAGGGTATTTATAGTGGCCAGGGTAGTGTACACACTGAACAAGTATGTAACGGACACAACCATTTTTCGGTTTCCCGCCCGTTAAGCAATTCAACAGGATATATAGTAATTAAGTAGTAGGTGACTGCCCTGAGCAACAAGCTAATTGGGGGACGACGATCCTTACCTCAAGGCTGAATCCCCAACCGGGAGAGATGGCTACCTTCTTGGCTCGCGACGCCGCGTCAGTGGCAACTAGACGGATTACTTAATTCTGTGCTTCCTTTATCTTCTCTCTTTATGGGGCGCTATGCTCCTCTTAATCCACCAAAAAAAAAGGTAGGTGCCTGCTAACAATATTAATTTAGTAATTAGTAGGCCAGGTAAGTGTTGCCCAGATAGGCAACTGCTGCGATTATGGTAATCATAAAATTAAAAGGTAAGTGCTAATATAAATTCTAAATACAATGCACGTAAATATTCAAATTTTACATTTGAATTAAAAAAAAAAAGAGTTAATTCCATTTTTGGTCCTAAATTTATAGGTGGCAGATCACTTTTAGTCCTTTTTAGCAGAATATTTCTTTTTGGTCATAGTATTATTGTGACATGACCAATTTTGATCATCTATCAACGAAATTGTTGAAATTTCGTTAAATATAAGGGCATTTTGCTATTCAATTATGATTTTTTTTAAACAAATAAACATAAAAATATAACGGGTCAACGCACTTTGTATTAAAAAGATCAAAATATCCTTCTATTTAACAAAATTTCAACTATTTTGTTGATAGAGGACCAAAATTGATCATGTCACAATAATACTATGACCAAAAGAGGATGTTTTGATAAAAATAAATTAAAAGTGAACTGTCACCTATAAATCTAGGACTAAAATCGGAATTAACTCTTTAAAAAAAAAGCATATTGTTAATATTTTTGAATTGTATTTGTACTTGTGTAATTTCAAAGTGATATTTGGATACATTTATAAATTTTGATGATACTAATAATGTGTAACTATAGAAACTTTATAACTCCTAAAATTTTGTTCTAATTCTTGCTTTATTGTTAGGATAATTTGTAAAGGTCAAAATAAGGCTTAGGATCTTTGATTAAAATTCTCTCAAGTGAATCTTGATTGAGGGACCCATAAGTAGAATATCTTAATGCGGTAGATTTATATTTCAATAGAAGTTATCTCACAGATCCTATAATAAACATCAAAATACATGATTTTAGCTAGTATAACTTGATAAATCGTTTGGCAGAACTTTTAAATAGAAGAACCCTTTTAAAAAATTCAAGCAGACTCTATTTTGTAAAGATCAATCAAGTTGGCTCATCAGCAGAACTAACCAACGTCAGACCTTTGATTTATGCATGCGTTGAGGTCTTCCGGTATATGACTTAATATTTAATCATGACTAGAGTCAACAAAAATGTCTAAGTTAGGGTTAGACAAATCTTGTCATTATATTGTAGCAAATTCAAGGTTTACCAATTGAAGAATGTACGAAAGAAATCAACTTAGAAGCGATTGAATCAAGGAATAAAGAATGTTTTCATGAAAAAAAGATCTCTTAGACACAATGCTCAATGCACATTCTCCAAAAATTTGCTCCCCAATCCTTGGTTTGTGTTGTTATGAACAACTAATTAGAAAGTCATGCACTTAATTTGAAAAAAGCAATAGTCAAGGACCAAAAGTGATTCACCTATGATAGTCAAGGGACGAAAAGTGATATTTACTCTTCTCAGAATTTGGTAACCATTTTCTATTTTTGTAACTACTACCATCGAGCGCAAGCATGTGATTAAATTGTGCAAATCTATATCTATATCTATATCTATATATATATAAAAGTAAAATCCTCCTAACCAAGTTTCCCCCCAAAACTTAGGGGCATTTATGTAATCTAATAATCTATATCTATATCTATATATACATATATATAAAAGTAAAATCCTCCTAACCAAGTTTTCCCCCCAAAACTTAGGGTCATTTATGTAATCTAATAATAATAATAATAATAATAATAATAATAATAATAATAATAATAATAATAATAATAATAATCTATCTATATATATATATATATATATATATATATATATATATATATATATATATATATATATATATATATATATATATATATATATATATATATATATATATATATATATATATATATATATATATATATATATAAAAGTAAAACCCTCCTAACAAATTTTTCCCCCAAAACTTTTGTAGTAAAACTTATTTGGTAAGTAAATGTCAAATGAAAAATAAATAAATAAATAAATAATTAAATAATAATAATAATAATAATAATAATAATAATAATAATAATAATGTTATATACCTTAAATAAATAAATTATTATACTTTCCCTTAAATAAATAAATTATTATACTTTCCTTTTGAATTAGTATTTTCTACCTATAAATACAATGGCTTCTTCAATCAAAGAATCTCAGACTCATCTCTCTGCTTTCTTTTTGTATAAAATTTCTACATTTTTCTAACTATATTCTCACGTACTTCAATATGTTTTGCAGTTTATATCATCTGGTATGAGTTTGAAGATACATAAGGAGGCTCCGCTTCAACAAAAGGAAATTGAGGAGGAAGAGCATTTGTAACAGAACCCTATTGGTTTAGTTTTGATGGAAGATTGTAGAGATGCGATCGAGGATGATAAAGACGGTAATTTTGATAATTTTGTAAGATTTTCTGAAACTTAGAGTTAGTATGTTGACTTCGAGATTTGTACATGCCATTCAAGTTTCTATGTTTTTTTCTTTACCAAGCAGAGTTCATTTTACAGCATTTTTATAATTAATATATATATATATATATATATATATATATATATATATATATATATATATATATATATATATATATATCACAACTTGAGTAGAGTGTTTGTTTAACCTATTAAAAATCTCGCTATATTTGATTTTTTTCTAAATTTGTGTAAAACACAAAAATAATGATTATTTAAAAAGAAGAAATAAATAACAAATACAATTTCAGATTTTGTGTTACTCCATTCACATATTAGTATAAATAAATAAAAAAGTAATAAAATAAAATACAAAGGAAATATAAATTTTTAACCAAAAATTTAATTAGAGAAACCTCCCAAAAAAATCCACGTTGTACTGAACCCAAATAAAAAAAATACTGGAAATGGCACAATCATAAGGATCAAAGGGAACAATGGAAGACCTAGAAATCCAGACATCATTGATGTACCGAACGGTGATGAGAGACTCAGAAATAGGAATATCATTATGAATGAAAACGAAGATTTTCTTGACACCCGAATTTAGTTTAAGGAGAAGTTTACTCTTGAGTACAAATGTCTCCTCAATGGATTTTGTATGGACATATAGAGTGTATTTATACACCATGGATGAGTTCAAAATAGCACAATATTGAAATTATAAAATGGTAAGAGATCTCGAAAAAGGTAAAACTTTCAAATTTTCAGTTAATACAAAAAATGTTATAATCGCCGAAAATATATATCTTTAACTTTAGACAAAAATTAAAAACGAAATCATAAACAATTTTAATAAATGACTATTTCATTTCTATGTTTCTTGAAAAATGATGGGCATGAACAGGCTGACTCATCGTGAAATATAGTAATTAATGAATTACCATTAAAATTAGTATAGTAATAAAAGAATTATCATTTGTATGTTGACATTTTCCCCTGTTTATTATCATTCAAATGTTTGATACCAAAAATTATACTATATAAACACAAAATATGCATGTATGGTAAATATGCAATTTATATATATATGCCCCTAAGTTTTGGGGATAAACTTGTTATACTAATTTCCATATAAAATTTTTAACCAATTAAGGTTCATTAATTTTTTACCAATTAATTAGTATTCATATTAGTTTGGATGTGAAAGTTGAAGAGGATGATTTTATTTATATTAATAGTATATATTGGTGTAAATAATAATTAATAAATTATTATTTTCTTATAAAATTACGCCGAATTTCAAAGAAATTTTTCAATTTATTACGCACAATTTATTTTCACAATAATAATGGTTTAATTATTCTCATAATTTGATAACCATTTTCCATTTTTAAGTACATATTGACTTTAATTTGTAGTAACAATTAATTAGATATTTGTTAATTTCTATATAAAATTTTGTTAACAATTAAGCTTTATTAATTTTTTTTACCAATTAATTAATATTCATATTAATTTGTCTGGAAAAGTTGAATAGTAGGATTTTAGTTTTATTAATAGTATAGATAGGATAAAGATTGTTTTCCTATCGGTGTATAAACACACTTTGGTTCAAAAGACTCCTTCCATTTATCGCCAATTTGTCTTGTTCAAGTTGTATATATATATATAGAACTCTGATCAAGTTGTATGTGATTCTTGATTGTTAATTGCATACGAGAATGGATGATTTTCTATTACTTGCATGTGTTTAATTGGTTTAATTTTGTAAATTGTTGCAATAGTACAATTTTCACAATTTAATCACATGCTTGCGCTCGAGGGTAGTAGTTACATCATATAGCAATTTTTCATGCTTGCAACAGGAAATAGAAGCTAGAAATGGAATATATAATAGCTAGGTACCTGTTGTAGGGCAGCTTTGGCCAACTCTTCTATTGAAAGCCTGTATTCATGCATTTGCCAACCAGTTCTCCTCCCAGCTGGGGCTCGCCCTTCATGATAAACCAGCGTCTTCTTCATGCCCACAATCTCTGAGTTATGGCGCACCGCTCTATCCCTCCCAGTTGCCGTCCAAAACCCTTTGTCTGTTGCCCTGTTTATCTTATATTATTCCCATTTGTATATTTCTTCTCAGTACGGGTGAAAAAATGCCACTCTGCCTCCCTACTATTTACTGCACAAAAACCTGCCATATATGTGCATATTCAATTGCATGCAACCAATTAGATAATAATCATATCATTTACAACAAACTAGTATCATTTACAATGAACTAGCTAGATTATTTATAACAAATTCATTCCGTGCAACGCACGTGCGCAAATACTACTATCATTTACAATAAACTAGCTAGATTATTTATAATGGTATCATGCAAGTAGCATAACTTAATTTTATTTTATTTTATTTTTTATTTTAAAGGTCTAGCTGACACGCTTATCTTTGACCCACCTTGATACGTTTATCACTATTTATTTATTATTAGTGCGTAAATTAGATTCTTACAATCACATACTGGTCAGATCATCACCCACACCGGCCCCACCAAATACATCAGATCATCACCCACACGGTGGATGGCCCCACCAAATACATCTCAAGTTTTTCTCCATTGTTGATCTTTGATCGTCCTAAACTAGTGGACCAGATATTTCCCTTGTTTAATATTATAGTAATCTAAAATTTAATTTTGATATCTTTATATAAAAAATAATGAAATTCCAAATAATAATTTCATTTTTAATTTTTTTTTTAAAAGTATGTGATTCATGAATATAATTTTTTTTTAAAAAAATTGAAAATGTAATGAAACTAACAGACCTTCAAATTAAAGTTAATATACAACATATAAGTGAAATGGTTCTATCAACAAATTAAAGCATGATCGATCAAAAAATTAATGATGCTATGGATCGGAACCTTGATATGATCATATGCCATTTTTGCATAGATCGATATATAGATATATATATAGATAGAGGAGAAATAAAATTAAAAGATGAGAAGTTGGATGGAAGAGAAATTAAACGACGAGGAGGCCGGGGGACTAACCGTGAAGCTCCCACGGTTCGAAGCTATAGATATCGATTTCCGTTATAGGACGGAAGGGCTGCTGAAACACCTTACGGCGAAGGAAGTAGAGCACCAACTCCTGGTCGGCGGGGTGGAATCTAAAGCCATGAGCCAGTCGAGGCTTAGGCGGCATCACCATCGCCAAAGCTTCTTCGTGTTGTTGCTCCGCCGCCGCCATTCCCAAATCAAACAAGAAATGAACTCAACAAAAGTGTAAAGGTATCAGAGCAAATGAAATGGATAGTAGAGAGCTAGGGCCATGGGGAAGGGTATTTATATATAGTGGCCAGGGTAGTGTACACACTGAACAAGTATGGTAACGGACACAACCATTTTCCGATTTCCCGCCCGTTAGTGCAACCTTCGTGCGAACAAAAAAAAAATTGAGTATAGTAAAAAGCATTTGTTAAAATTCTTGGAAGATACTACGACAGAAATCTTACAGAATATTTCTCTATAAAATTCAAATTTGTGCCTTGTTTAGCAAAAAATTAAATTGTATTTTTGTTGAAATATTATAAAGTATGCTTGAATTTTTAAGTTGGAAATATAAAATTATTTTAAAACTTCACAAAAAAAATTAATATAAACAATATGAGATAATTTTAATTAGAAAAAAAAATCAAATAAGCCTCATAAGGTGAATAAATAATGAATTTGAACCCTTAACTAAAAATTACATCAAGATCTCTTAAATTAGTAAAAAAAAAAGTATAATTATGTCTTAATTTAACATATTTAGTAGCGTATCATTTGATTTGACAAATAATGCGTGATACTTTTATGCTTATGTGGATCCAACTGTATAAATACGTGAGATTTTTATAGGATCTTATTGTACAACTTTTTTATTTTTTATTTTTTGAAAACTGATCTTATTGTACAATTAATTATTTAATTTTTTTAAAAAAAGTTTTTTTCAACAATCACCGATTGTCTTTGAATTAGGAATTTACAAAGGTATACGTACAATTGCAACATATTTGCCAAGTTAAATTAGGATTTAATTATAAATTTTTCCTGGAACATTTTTTGATTAGAGAACTTATTAGAATTATTATACTATTTGTTCAACTTATATTATGGGCCTAGCTAACTCCTTTTAACTTATAATAAAGGTAATACACATATGGGTTCGTTAGAATAGTAAGTACGTCAGTCGTACAATCGTTATGCGTTGGACCCGTGTCCAGCATGCTTGCTGGACATGGATAACAGTGCCGTTAGACACTGTTATCTCCTTTTTTTTTTTTTTTCTTCAGACTGCTTCATTGTAAGAGTATATGTTCATAATTTATTACTATATGTTAATAACTATACATTCATAACTCCATAACTGTACGTTCATAACTCTATAACTGTACATTCATAACTCCATAACTGTACATTCATAACTCCATAATTGTACATTCATAATTTTCGAAGCTCTATGTTCACAATTTTAGAGCTCTATGTTCATAATTTTATCACTATATGTTCATAATTGTAAGTTCATAATGTTAGAGCTCTTTGTTCATAATTCGATCAATAACTGTACATTCATAATTCCATACTGTAGATTCATAATCTCATAACTGTAGATTCATAACTCCATAACTGTAGATTCATAACTCTATAACTGTACATTCATAACTTCATAACTGTACATTCATAATCTTCGAAGCTCTATATTCACAATTTTAAAGCTCCATGGTCATAATTTTATCACTATATATGTTCATAATTGTAAGTTCATAATGTTGAGCTCTATGTTCATAATTTCATAATTGCATAACTGTATATTCATAACGGCATAACTGTACATTCATAATTCAAAAAAAAAAAAAAAAAATAACGCCGTTAACGGCAAAACGCGCGCGATTTTTTTTTTTTTTTTTTTTAACTAAATGACGCGTTTTTTTTTTTTTTTTTTTTAAAACGACGTCGTTTTGGGCCCGTGTCCATAATTCAATGTGGACACGGGTCCATGGCATAATTTGCCTCAGTCGTATACCATGGACCACCAGACGTTATGCCATGGAACCGTGTTCACCATTCATGGTGAACACGGTTCCAACGGTGTTAGTACACCATTATCTTCTTTCTTCGTCTTTTTTTTTTTTTTTTTTTAATTGTGTGACTTTTCTTCTTTATTTTCACATTTTGCGGTTTCACTTTAATTTGAGGTGAACAAAGATTTCGGACATTCATAAATTATGAATTCATGCCTGCACATTCACTTTGGAACCATGCCTACACATTCCCGTCTGAAATCACGGACATTCATAAATTATGAATCCATGCCTGCACATTCACTTTGGAACCATGCCTACACATTCACTTTGGAACCATGAGATTATGAATTTTCTGTTATAAGATTATGAATTTTCTGTTATGAGATTATGAATTTTCAGTTATGAGATTATGAATTCTTTGTTATGCGATTATGAATTTTCTGTTATGAGATTATGAATTTTCATTACATTCATAATTTCGGACATTCATAAATTATGAATTCATGCCTGCACATTCACTTTGGAACCATGCCTACATATTCCCGTCCGAAATCACGGACATTCATAAATTATGAATCCATGCCTGCACATTCGCTTTGGAACCATGCCTACACATTCACTTTGGAATCATGAGATTATGAATTTTCTGTTATAAGATTATGAATTTTCTGTTATGAGATTATGAATTTTCAGTTGTGAGATTATGAATTTTCTGTTATGCGATTATGAATTTTCTGTTATGAGATTATGAATTTTCATAAAATTCATAATCTCATAACAGAAAATTCATAATTTGATCAAACGCGCGCCGTTAACTCCACATCCTCATTTTTTTTTTTTTTTTTTTTTGCCTAAAAACGACGTCGTTTTGCCTTGTGTTCACCATTCTCGGTGAACACGATTCCATGGCATAATTTGCGATGGACCACTGGTATAAGATTCATTTTTAATATATTGTGTGTTTAGTTTTTAACATTTATTTTTTTGTGTACCGAAGGCTATACCTATAAATGAACATTAAGTCGTATATTAAATACTAGTATTTCATATGCGCGATGCGCAAAAACATTTGCCCAATATTAATACTTAATGTTAAAATATTTTTTTAAATAATTGTGTGTGTGTGTGTCTATATATATATATATATATATATATATATTAATGTATAATTCATATTAATACTTGTATAATTCATATTAATATTAATGAAGTAAGAATTATAGAAATGATATATTACTAAATATAACTATGGTAATATTTAATTAAAAATTAAATAAAATCAAACTTACCATTGAAGAATGTAAGAAGAAAAAGATATTGTGTATGCATGTGCATGGTAATAATAATGTAAAAAAGATAACAGAAGTTATAACGGCAAGGATATTTTTGTCCAAAAAATTATGTAGTACAACATTTATAGCATAAGGTACAAAAAAAATTAACAGAAAAAACGGACATAAAACCAGGGACATAACCTGGATTGAAACTTATTATGTTTTTAGATATGAATATTGTACTTATCATTGGTCTACATTGCAATGTACACTAAGGACTACGATATACTTCGTAATTTGCAGGCAGTTATGCCATGAAATTGGATCCACCTTGCAAGCTGGACCAAAGTCAAAATACACAATTTATATATTGAATGTTCATAATTTACATATTGAATATTCATAATTTACATATTGAATGTTCACAATTCAAATTGTGAACATTCATATGTAAATTGTGAACATTTAACATATAAATTGTGTATTTTTGAATCTGGATCCACCGAATAATTTTCCATAATTTGCTATAGTAATTAAGTAGTAGGTGGCTGCTAACAATATTTAGTAAGTATTAGGTAAGTGTTGCCCAGATAGGCAATTGCTGCGATTATGGTAATGATAAAATTAAAAGGTAAGTGCTAATATAAATTCTAAATATAATGCACGTGAATATTCAAATTTTACATTTGAATTAAAAAAAAATTATATTATTGTTAATATTTTTGAATTGTATTTGAACATGTGTAATTTCAGAGTGATATTTGGATACATTTATAAATTTTGATGATGCGTGCTAATAATGTGTAACTATAGAAACTTTATAACTCCTTAAATTTTGTTCTAATTCTTGCTTTATTGTTAGGATAATTTGTAAAGGTCAAAATAAGGCTTAGGATCTTTGCTCAAAATTCTCTCCAGTAAATATTGATTGAGGGACCTCATAAGTAGAATATCTTGATGCAGTAAATTTATATTTCATAGAAGTTATCTCATAGATCTTATAATAAACATCAAAATACATGATTTTAGTATAACTTGATAAATCGTTGGACAGAACTTTTCAATAGAAGAACCCTTTTAAAAAATTCAAGCAGACTCTATTTTGTAAAGATCAATCAATTTGGCTCATCAATAGAACTAACCAACGTCAGACCTTTGATTTATGCATGTGTTGAGGTCTTCCGGTATATGGCTTAATATCTAATCATGACTAGAGTCTAGGGATAACAATTCTACGCGCACCCAACGGGTTACCCGCATCCCTGTCCTAATGGGTAATAAAATACCCGCATAATTTGGGTAATGGGTGCACGTATGAGGGAAAAATTTTACACCCACGCGGGTACGGGGGCGGGGGCGAGGACAGGTATCCCCGCCCCCGCATATATATATATATATATATATATATATATATATATATATATATATATATATATATATATATAACCCTGATCAAGTTGTATGTGATTCTTGATTGTTAATTGCACACGAGAATGTGTGATTTTCTATTACTTGCATGTGTTTAATTGATTTAATTTTGTAAACTGCTACAATAGTATAATTTGCACAATTTAATCACATACTTGCGCTCCAGAGTAGTAGTTACATCATATAACAATTTTTCATTCTTAGAAATCTAAATATTAAAAATCTCTACCTTTAATTTAGATATTGATTAAAATTCTCCACAGACTTAGCTTGAAGATATATCAGATTGGATGTTACACGCCGCCGCTAATCCTTGGCCGCCGGGAAGAAGACTTCTCAGGCGGCTAATTTCCTCAGCCAACCTGTCATTGTCAGCTTGAAGGCAACTGACTGTGGCTTCTGAATTCATCAATGCATGCTTGAGGGTGTCCCTCTCTTCCTCCAACTCAGTTATAAACTTCAAATAACCCGGAGGAAGTGAG